GAGAGCCGCTTTGCCGGTATTTGGAAACGGCCTCCCTGAGGCGGAGCTGGAGAACATCGCCAGCCCGCGGCGCGGGGCTGCGTCCGCGCGAGGACAGTCTACTGGCAGGACGGGGCGCCGGGCCGCGCTGGTTGCCAGAGCGACCAGGGTCCGACCGGGAAGGCTTCTCGCTCTCCAAGGAACCCGGCGAGCCCGCGTGCGCAGGGGGGCAGCGGAGCGCGCAGAGGGTGGAGGAGCCACGCAAGCGTTTTGAATAGGGGCTGCCCGGGTCGAGAGGCAGGCGACCCTCACCCTCACCCTGCTGGGTACCTTTCCCAGCGCAGGTGCCTTCGTGCCTGAAATATGTGCACCTCTGTTGAGGGTGTGCTTGACCAAGTAAGCAAAACAGAAAAGGACGGGCTTTTTAGGTCCATCTCTGAAAGAGCCAAATAAGTATTTAAAGTTAGTCTTTCTTACCTGTTGTAGTGGACTTTTACTAATTAGAAGTTATTATATCATTATTTGGCTTTGGGTTTTTTGTTTATTTGTTTTTTTGGTACTGGGGATCGAACCCATGAGTGCTTTACCACTGAGCTTCACTTCCAGCCTATTTATTTTTTATTTTGAGACAGGGTCTTGCTAAGTAGCCCAGGCTGGTCTCAATCTGTGATCCTCCTGTCTCAGCCTCATGGATTGTTGGGATTATAGGTGTGCACTACCGTGCTCACGTGCATCACTACATTTTTAAGAAATGGGTTCAGGGCTTGGGTAGTGGCTCAGTGGTAGAGCTCTGGCCTGGCATGTGTGAGGCACTGGGTTTGATCCTCAGCATAAAATAAAATAAAGGTATTGTGCCCATCTACAACTAAAAAATAAAAATAACCAAAGGAATGGGCTCAGACCCCACCAGAATTCATTTGTCCTTTCAGCAGATGTTTATTTAAGTGCTGCTGTGTGCAGGCATTTGGGGTGATGCTGATGCACACTACAGTCAGAGATGCCTGCCCGTGGAGCTTGCACTCTGAGGACAACCAGCCATGTACAGCCATGGAGGTGTGTGAGAGGGGGGCAGTGTCTTAGAGCCTGGAGAGCAGGATGAGGGAGCGAGACCAGGGTGGGGTGCTGAATGTCTTCCGTGGGAAGGTGGGATTTAAGAGGGGAGGAAAAGTGATGGAGAAACCTGTGGGTATCAGACGAAGAAGTTCTAAGTAGACAGAGCAGTTCCAGCAGTTCCACAGGTGGCAGGACGGCAAGTGAGGGCTGGAGGGGAGGAGAGATGAGCAAATAGGTCAGAGAGGTGACAAGGTGGGTGGCCTCCAGTGTCCCAGGCCTCAAGTGTGGAGCTGCAGTTTTGGCAGAAGAATCATCTGACCTGACAAGTTTTCAAGGGTCACTTTGACTGCCACATTGAAGAGAAGGTGAAAGGAGGCAGGGGAACCAGTTGGGAGCTGGCTGTACCATTAGTGGAGAGGCCTTAGTGCCTTGGACTGGTGTGGTGGGGGTAGAGGTAGGTGTGTGAGGGTGACCAAAAGTCTTCCCAGGTCTGTGAGCAGCAAGTCTGAAGTTTGGTGTGAGCACCTGGAGCGGTGGCCTTGCTGTTCTGTGACCTGGAGAAGGCTGTGGGTGGATCTTGTATTAGTTACTATTTGCCGTTGAACAGGTTACCCCAAAACTTAGAAGCTAAGGAAGGAGGAGTATTTCTCAGTTTCTGAGGGCCCACAGTCAGGAGCAGCTCAGCAGAGCAATTCCTGATGGGCTCCCCACAGGGCTGTGGTCCTCTGGGGCTCAGCTGGACTGGAGTTCTGCCTGCACTGCTAGCAGGAGGCCTCCACTCCTCAGCATGGGCCTCAACAGCATGACAGACTGCCAGAGTGAGGCAGGTCCTCTGAGACCAGAGCTTGGCCTCAGATGCAACTGCTATCCCTTCTGCGGTTTTGTGCTGGTCCTATTGACCAACCCTAGTACAGTGAGGGAGGCGGTGCAGAGCTGCTTCCGGTGCTGGTCAGCTGATTCCTCAGCAGGTGGCCGTTTAGAGCAGCAGGTAGAGATGGGAGTGGGGTCTGGGCTGGAGGCAGAGTTGGGGTCTTTAGCTTATGGGTGGCGTCTGCCCTTTGAAGCTGGTATAGTTACCCAGAGATAGCAAAGGACAGGGCCCTGGGGCACCTCAGCTTTGCAAGGTAGAGACAGGAAGAGTTGGAGGACCTCGGCCAGGGCAGCAGGAAGAAAGGCTGGGGGTGCAGCACATAGGAGAAGGACACTAGCGCCTCAGGTGGAACAAGACCGGCGGGGGCAAGTGGGGTGTATGGCCTGACCTGAGGAGGATGGGAGGCCCTGAGAAGGAGGCTTGGTAACAGTGAACCCAGACAACAGTCTGGAGATTCATGCAAAAGAAAGCAAAGAAATGGGTTAGTAACTGACAGGGAACGCAGGTTTTTAAAGATCAGAGAAATGGCAGCTCATCTGTGCGTGGAAGGGAGCAACCCAGACTGCCCTGAAAGGCACTCAGCCCCCAGGATTGCGGTGATCCTTCCCTGTCCGTCGTTATGAGACATGCAAAGACACCAGATGTGGTAGTTCTTTCCTGGCCCTCTCAGGACAGCATCAGCATGAGGCAGCAGGGTTTGGTGGTGCTGGGGGGAGACTGCTGTGTGCACACTTGCTGCCCAGGAGGGACAGCCTGGTCTGTCTTGTGCACACTCCCGTGGGTTGGGTTTGCACAGGACACAGCAGCAGCAGGTGGTCTTGTCTCTCTCTATCCTTTCCACTCCGCCCCCAAGTGGCCAGCCCAGTTTTCCTGGTAGTGTGGTGACCTCAGGGTAGTCAGCCTTCTTTCAGGAATTCAGGGCCTTAGAACACCAAGGTGAAAGCTGCCAGTCATCCCAAGAACTAGGTCAGCAGGGCACGGTGTGCTGACCACCACACCTGTTCTTCAGAGCAGACCCCATCCAGGTCCATATGTGGCTGTCTTGAGTCTGTCCCTGGAGTCTAGTATAAGTGCAGCCTTGCCAGTCCTGCCACAGTGGGCACCCTGAGCTGGCATGGAGAACTCAGGGCTGGCTTGCTTTCCTTTTGTCTTCTCTCTCGAGCTCACACGATCTTCCTGCTTCAGCCTCCTGAGAGCTGGACTACAGGCAAGCACCTCTGTGCCTGTCTCTCTGCACTTCAGGGCCTATCTCCCCCCGCCCCCCCCTTACTGAGTATTGAACCCAAAGCAAGTGCTCCACCACTGAGCTCCATTCTCAGCATCCCCCCCCCACTTTTTTAAAAAAACTTAAAAAAGTTTTTGAGGTACGATAACCCTGAGGTCACCACACTAAGTTGCCCAGGCTGGCCTCAAACCTGCCTTAGCCCCCTGAGGGTTAGATTTTGGGCATGGCCACCTTGCCTCATTTCCAGCCTTCGAGCCTCCCGGTAGCTGCAGCACCTTGGCTCCGACTGGAGGCGCTAGTGGAGCCTATGCTGTGCCTGGAGCAGCAGCCTCAGGTTCACATCTGTGGATGCCCAGCTGGGCAGGTTTGGGGCAGAAGATGAGTATGGGCAGCAGGGGGCTTGGCCTCTGGGGAAACGTGAGGCAGAGGCTTCCTGGGGAAGAGCCCTGAGGCCAGGCTTTGGGGCATGGGTGCGTGAGTGATAGGTGGACAGGCCAGGGAGGGCGCACGGCTATCCAGGGTCCTTGGTGGCAGGGCTCAGCCCTGAGTGAACTTTTCCTGTCCTTCCTCAGGGCTTGTCTCTGGATGAGGAGAGGCAGGCATGTATGTGGCCCCTCACTGCCTTCTCTTCCTACCCCTCCAGGCCCTGACCAAGAATGACAGGAGCACAGGTAAGTACAGGGGTGGCCACCCTGGGCATGTGGGTAGCCAGGGCATCACCCAGCTTTGACCTGCTGGCCCTCTCCCAGAGGGGAAGGCCCACCGCGAGAAGCTGGAGCTGGTGGCCTCCTTCTCCTTCTTTGGCAACGTCATGTCCATGGCCAGCGTGCAGCTGGCAGGAGCCAAGCGTGATGCCCTACTGCTCAGCTTCAAGGATGCTAAGGTGAGTGGTAGAGGATGGTAGAGGGTGGTAGGCCCAGGGTGGGAGATGGAGGGGGCAGGCCTACACAGGGGCCTGCTGGTACCCCTAGGGTGCAGGGGGGCAGGCCATAGATCTGACCTCCTGCCCCCAGCTGTCAGTGGTGGAGTATGACCCAGGCACCCACGATCTGAAGACCCTGTCCCTGCACTACTTTGAGGAGCCTGAGCTTCGGGTAGGCCACATTGAGGCACCCCAGCCAGCCCAACTACTCCCTCCCTCCTTCTACCCCCAGTACTGCCCGTGAGGTCTCCTGGCTAATGTCCCTCTGCCCCTAGGACGGCTTTGTGCAGAACGTGCACACACCTCGAGTGCGGGTGGACCCCGATGGGCGCTGTGCAGCCATGCTAATCTACGGCACCCGGCTGGTGGTGCTGCCCTTCCGCAGGGAGAGCCTGGCTGAGGAGCATGAGGGGCTCGTGGGTGAGGGGTGAGCACTGGGGTCACGGCTATGGGTCTGAGAGGTGTGGAGCTTGGTTTCCCTCTGTGTGCCCCACCCTGACGTCCCTGTTCCCCCAGGCAGAGGTCCAGCTTCCTGCCTAGCTATATCATCGATGTGCGGGCCCTGGACGAGAAGCTGCTCAACATCATTGACCTGCAGTTCCTGCATGGCTATTACGAGCCCACCCTGCTCATCCTATTCGAGCCCAACCAGACTTGGCCTGGGTGAGGCCCAGGGATGCCCTCTTTGCTGTGGTCCCAGCTGCCTGGGCAGAGGGGACAGGGATGTGTAGCTCCCACAGAGGGTGGAAGTTGGACCCCAGCCTTCGGGGTGCTGTGAGCCCAGCTGACCTACCTGCTACTCCAGGAGGGTGGCAGTGCGACAGGACACCTGTTCCATTGTGGCCATCTCACTGAACATCACGCAGAAGGTCCACCCTGTCATCTGGTCCCTCACCAGCCTGCCTTTTGACTGCACCCAGGCCCTGGCTGTGCCCAAGCCCATAGGTGAGGAGGGCCCAGCAGTACCCAGTGGTCCTGGGGGGAGCAGTGAGCCTGCCTACCAGCCCCTGTCTGTCCCCAGGTGGGGTTGTGGTCTTCGCTGTCAACTCGCTGCTGTACCTGAACCAGAGTGTCCCCCCATACGGCGTGGCTCTCAACAGCCTCACTATGGGCACCACTGCCTTCCCACTGCGTAAGTGTAGCTGACTATTAGTGGGTGGGGCTGTGGGTGGGGCAGGGCCTCCAGCCAGCTTGACACCTTCCTCACAGGCACTCAGGAGGGCGTACGCATCACCCTGGACTGCGCCCAGGCCGCCTTCATTTCCTATGACAAGATGGTCATTTCCCTCAAGGGTGGCGAGATGTGAGCCCCTGGCCCTGTCTGCCCTGAGACCCCCACATCCCCTCCCCTGCTCATTCAGCACCCCCCACCCCTGCCCTCCAACATCCTTCATCCCTAGCCCTACTCAGCAGCCCGCCCTGCCCACAGCTATGTGCTGACGCTCGTCACAGACGGCATGCGCAGCGTCCGTGCCTTCCACTTTGACAAGGCAGCCGCCAGTGTCCTCACCACCAGTGTGAGTAGGGGCAGGGGTGGGGGTCTTGCACTGGGTCCAGGTCTGGCCACCTCTCATCCACACGCCCGCCCTCAGATGGTCACCATGGAGCCTGGGTACCTGTTCCTGGGCTCGCGCCTGGGCAATTCCCTCCTCCTCAAGTACACAGAGAAGCTGCAGGAGCCCCCAGCCAGTGCTGTCCGCGAGGCTGCTGACAAGGTGGGTGCTCATGGTGGTGCCCAGGGTCTGCTTGGCCACCTCCCCTTGGTGTAAAGCAGCCTGGAAATGCTGTTCACCTCTGTCTCCTGCCTCACAGGAAGAGCCTCCCTCCAAGAAGAAGCGGGTGGACCCCACAGTGGGCTGGTCAGGTGAGAGCTGGACCGGTTGGGTGGGGTGGGTCTGGGAGCCAGGGCAAGGCTCAAGTGGGCTGTGTGTGCTACAGGGGGCAAGTCCGTGCCACAGGACGAGGTGGACGAGATTGAAGTGTACGGCAGTGAGGCCCAGTCAGGCACACAGCTGGCCACCTACTCCTTTGAGGTGAGACTGGGGACAGCCGTGGATGCCTGCACCCTCCCCACATCTGACTGCCACTGTGTCTGCAGGTGTGTGACAGCATGCTCAACATCGGACCCTGCGCCAATGCTGCTGTGGGCGAGCCCGCCTTCCTCTCCGAAGAGGTGCCTGGGGCCTGGGCTTGGGTTGAGGGCAGGAGCGGGGTTGGGGCAGCATCTTTACCCCAACCTGTGCAGTTTCAGAACAGCCCTGAGCCAGACCTGGAGATTGTGGTTTGCTCCGGCTACGGGAAGAACGGGGCCCTATCGGTGCTGCAGGTGTGTAGGGCAGGGGGGGTGGGCGCCTGCTGGCAGCACCTGAGTAGGCTGACCCCATCCCACCCTATCTTCATTCCAGAAGAGTATCCGGCCCCAGGTAGTGACAACCTTTGAACTTCCTGGCTGCTATGACATGTGGACAGTCATTGCCCCTGTGCGCAAGGAGGAGGTAGGTGGGACCCCAGGTGATAGTGACTGTGGCGGCCTGAGGGCACCTGGATCCAGTGGTCACAGCCATCACAGCTCTCTGTTCTCCCTGTCCTTGGCCCTTGCAGGAGGAGGCACCTAAGGCAGAGGGCCCAGAGCAGGAGCCGAGCACCCCTGAAGCAGAAGATGATGGCCGAAGACACGGCTTCCTCATTCTGAGCCGGGAAGACTCTACAATGGTGAAGGGCGGGTCTGGATGTGGGCGTCTGGGGTTCCCCGGGGAAGGGCACAACTCACTATGTCACCTACAGATCCTTCAGACTGGCCAGGAGATCATGGAACTGGACACCAGTGGCTTTGCCACACAGGGCCCCACGGTTTTTGCTGGAAACATTGGGGACAATCGCTACATTGTCCAAGTGTCACCACTGGGCATCCGCTTGCTAGAAGGAGGTAGGTGGGCAAGTGTAGGGAAGCGCATCCTGGGGAGTATGCTGCATTGGCCACCCCGTGCTGACCACCTTGTGCCCACAGTGAATCAGCTGCACTTCATCCCTGTGGACCTGGGTGCCCCCATCGTGCAGTGCGCTGTGGCCGACCCCTATGTGGTCATCATGAGCGCCGAGGGCCATGTTACCATGTTCCTGCTCAAGAGTGATTCGTATGGTGGCCGCCACCACCGTCTGGCACTGCACAAGCCCCCACTGCACCATGTAGGCCTCACCCTCTGTGTCTGCTATCCCTGCCTATGATCCCCTATCCCAACTGTCCCCGACCTACACTGGGCTTTGTCTCTCCCTGCAGCAGTCCAAGGTGATCACACTCTGCCTGTATCGTGATGTCAGCGGCATGTTCACCACCGAGAGCCGCCTGAGTGGGGCCCGTGATGAGATGGGGGGCCGCAGCGGTTCAGAGGCCGAGGGACTAGGCTCAGAGACCAGGTGTGCAGGGGGCCAGGGTGCAGGAGACCTGGGTCTCTATGGCAGATTGAGACATGTCTGTGGTCTTCAGCCCTACAGTGGATGACGAGGAGGAGATGCTCTATGGGGACTCAGGCTCCCTCTTCAGCCCCAGCAAAGAGGAGGCCCGGAGGAGCAGCCAGCCCCCTGCTGACCGAGACCCTGCACCCTTTCGGGCAGAGCCCACCCACTGGTGCCTGCTGGTGCGAGAGAACGGCACCATGGAGGTAGGTGCACCTACGTGGCTCAGCAGCCCTGGCAGCATGGCAGGCCCTATTGTCACTGACTGCTGTCCCCCACCAGATCTACCAGCTTCCAGACTGGCGGCTGGTGTTCCTGGTGAAGAACTTCCCTGTGGGGCAGCGGGTCCTGGTGGACAGCTCCTTTGGACAGCCTACCACGCAGGGTGAGGCCCGCAAGGAAGAGGCCACGCGCCAGGGGGAGCTGCCCCTGGTCAAGGAGGTGCTGCTGGTTGCTCTGGGGAGTCGCCAGAGCAGGCCCTACCTGCTGGTGAGCCCTTTGGTGCCTGCCCAGAGGCTGGGACCTGCCCTCACAGCCCAACCCATTCCTCCACTCTGACCTCGGGGCCCAGCCCCACCTCGTGGCCCACCCTGCCTCACTTCCAGGTGCATGTGGACCAGGAGCTGCTTATCTATGAGGCTTTTCCCCATGACTCTCAGCTTGGCCAGGGCAATCTCAAAGTTCGCTTCAAGAAGGTGCAGCTGCTAGACCCTTTTGGGGTGGGTTGGGAGGGGTCCAGGCTACAGGGTCTGAAGGGCCTGGCATTCATCAACGCCTTCACCAGGTCCCTCACAACATCAATTTCCGTGAAAAGAAGGCAAAACCCTCCAAGAAGAAGGCAGAAGGTGGCAGTGTGGAGGAGGGGTCTGGGGCCCGGGGACGTGTGGCACGTTTCCGCTACTTCGAGGACATTTATGGCTATTCTGGGGTAGGCAGGCAGCTTTGTTTGGGCTTGGGGGTAGGGGAACAGGACCTTGCCCACATGTTCTCACAGTGTCTGTCTCCAGGTGTTCATCTGTGGCCCCTCACCCCACTGGCTCCTAGTGACTGGCCGGGGGGCTCTGCGGCTCCACCCCATGGGCATCGATGGCCCCATCGACTCCTTCGCCCCATTCCACAATGTCAATTGCCCCCGAGGCTTTCTGTATTTCAACAGACAGGTAGGAAGGCTAACTCTGGCCACACCACAAGCACTGATACTGCCCTGGCAAAGCTGGGCGCTAGGGACAGGAGGGCTCCTCAGCTGCAGCACATCTCAGAGGACCAGGGATGACTGTCTAGGGGAAGGTAGGGCCCAGGAGGTGGGATCTGGGGCTTAATGCTGGGCTGTCTGGAGGCTGGAGCAGTTGGCAGTGGAGGCCTGGCTGATGGGGCATACCCTGAAAGCCCTTGCCTCATCTGTGACACGTGGCAGCAGTGATCACCTGAGTCACTGACAGACTCTGGTATTGAGTGCTTCTGAGGGGCTAATGCATTCAGGACTGGATAGAAGCTGGGGCTGGGGCTGGCAGGGTCTCCCTCTGCCTGTGTTCTGCAGTCCCCGGCATGGCCAGTCTCAGTCATGTGGCTTTTAGTCTCTAGTGTCCTCTGGCCTTGGACTCCCATGCCCTATGCTGTTTTCCCCAGCCAGAAGGATGGACAGGAGCCTACTGATAGAAGGCATGGGACTGACCACCAAGGCTACAGCTCTTCCAGACCTTTCGTAGACTCGGTGACCTTAGCCAGGCAGTAGGGAGGCCTGCAGCCCTAGGCCTTGCTGACTATTTCCACCCACCCCAGGGTGAGCTGCGGATCAGTGTCCTGCCTGCCTACTTGTCCTACGATGCCCCATGGCCCGTCAGGAAGATCCCACTGCGCTGCACGGCTCACTATGTAGCTTACCATGTGGAGTCCAAGGTCTGTCCCCTCCCCCAGCACCCCCTCCCCCAGGCACCCCAGGCGTGTGACACCATTCAACTCCTAGGTGTACGCCGTGGCCACCAGCACCAATACACCCTGCACCCGCATCCCGCGCATGACTGGTGAGGAAAAGGAGTTTGAGGCCATTGAGAGAGGTATGTGCCACCAGGGGTGGGGTGGACCATGCCCAGGGCTGGCTACGACCACAGCCTCCTTGTCCCTGCAGATGACAGGTACATCCACCCCCAACAGGAGGCCTTCTCCATCCAGCTCATCTCCCCAGTCAGCTGGGAGGCCATTCCCAATGCCAGGTGATGTTGGGCCCAGTGGGGGCTTCTGGGTGCCAGCAGGGCAGGACTGGGGTGTCCTGATGCAGCCTGGCCTTGTGCAGAATTGAGCTGGAGGAATGGGAACACGTCACATGCATGAAGACAGTGTCGCTGCGCAGTGAGGAGACTGTGTCGGGCCTCAAGGGCTATGTGGCTGCTGGGACCTGCCTCATGCAGGGAGAGGAGGTCACGTGCCGCGGGCGGGTAAGCAGCTGCCAGGTGGGAATAGGCGGCCCTTGGCAGCCTGTCTGCCATCCCCACATGTTCCCTTGCCCTGCCAGATCCTCATCATGGATGTGATTGAGGTGGTGCCCGAACCTGGCCAGCCCCTGACCAAGAACAAGTTCAAGGTCCTATATGAAAAGGAACAGAAGGGGCCTGTGACCGCCCTGTGCCACTGCAATGGTCACCTGGTGTCAGCCATTGGCCAGAAGGTACACAGCTACCCCTCCCTGCTGTGTCTGCCTGCTCACCCTGCCCACTCCACTGACCCTTCCTGCCCCCTAGATCTTCCTGTGGAGCCTGCGGGCCAGTGAGCTGACGGGCATGGCCTTCATCGACACCCAGCTGTACATCCACCAGATGATCAGCGTCAAGAACTTCATCTTAGCTGCAGATGTCATGAAGAGCATCTCACTGCTGCGTTACCAAGAAGAGAGCAAGACGCTGAGCCTGGTGTCCCGGGTACTTCACGTGGTCTTGGGGTACAGGTGAGAGTCACACTCGGACCCCTCCTGACACCTTCTGCTCTGCTCCCTGACAACAGGATGCCAAGCCTCTGGAGGTGTACAGTGTGGACTTCATGGTGGACAATGCCCAGCTGGGCTTTTTGGGTGAGTAGGTCTTGGGGGAATGTCACCCTGGGGGTGGCTGGAGCTGACTCTGGGTCTTTGCTCCCTAGTGTCTGACCGAGACCGCAACCTTATGGTGTACATGTACCTGCCAGAAGGTCAGTGGCTCCCTCCCTCACTTCTTTTAATATTTTTTAGTAGTTGATGGACCTTTATTTATTTGTATGTGGTGCTGCGAATCGAACCCAGTGCGTCACACATGCTAGACAAGCTGTCACTGAGCCACAACCCCAGCCCTCCCTCCCTCACTTCTACTCGGGCTGGGTATTGGGCACTGGGTGGGCAGTGATCTGAGTTCTTCTGACCTAGCCAAGGAGAGCTTTGGAGGCATGCGCCTGCTGCGCAGGGCAGATTTCCACGTGGGTGCGCATGTGAACACGTTCTGGAGAACGCCATGCAGGGGGGCCACTGAGGGGCCCAGCAAGAAGTCGGTGGTGTGGGAGAACAAGCACATCACGTGGTTTGGTGAGTGGGGTGGGGTGGGGTAACCGAGCTCACGGTGCCCCCTCAAGCCACACTGGATGACTAGGGGGTTGACCTGGCTCACACTTCCCCCCATCCCCAGCCACACTGGATGGTGGCATCGGGCTCCTGCTGCCCATGCAGGAGAAGACCTACCGGAGGCTGCTGATGCTGCAGAACGCACTGACCACCATGTTGCCCCACCATGCTGGCCTCAACCCCCGTGCCTTCCGGTGAGCACCCCCCCCCATCCTCAGGGCTCTGCCCACCCTCCCAGGTGGCCCTGACCCCCCATACCCCCTCCCCAGGATGTTGCACGTGGACCGGCGCATCCTACAGAACGCAGTGCGCAACGTGCTTGACGGAGAGCTGCTCAACCGCTACCTGTACCTCAGCACTATGGAGCGTGGGGAGCTGGCCAAGAAGATTGGCACGACCCCAGACATTGTGAGTTGGCCTGCTATCCCCTGCCCATCCTGACCCTGCCCTGCTGAGCCTTGCCCTGACGGCTTTCACCCTACAGATCCTTGATGACCTGCTGGAGACTGACCGTGTCACCGCCCACTTTTAAGCATGTGGATGCCACCCTGCCCCCACACACTGCCTCCCCCTACCTTTTGTACAAAACAAGGAAAACAAATTGTTTGAGACGAGTGTGTGGTCATTGCTGGTCAGGGCCCCACAATGCTTCCCCTGCTTCAGGCCATGACTGCCCCATGCCCCACAGTGTGAGGTACCCGACTGCCTGATGTCAGTGGGCCAGGGCTACGAGCAGCTGTGTGGTCATCCTGGCCCTGGGGATCTATGTCTCCAGGTACTGGTAGAGCTCCTCGGCCTGAGGCACAAGGCCCAGGTGGACCAGAACACGAACCAGGAGGGCGCCGAGCCGCATGGCCAGGGTCTCCAACCTATAGGAGGGTAGAGTAGGGGGTCAAGGATTGGTTGTCAGAAGGCCCAGGCCCACCACCCAACCAGTACCACATACTCACCTCAGAGCCACCTCAAATTTGAACACCTCCCAGGCAACCTTCATGTGGCGCAGGAGGCCACTGCCGTAGATACCCAGGTATGCTGCACCCACCAGGCGGCTCCAGCCTCTGACCGCACTGTGTCGGACACAGGCATCAGCCCACGGGCCTCATCCACCCCCAGGGAACCCCCTCGGTCACTAACCTCTTGGCCATGAGGAAGTAGCGGTCCACAGGGGTGCCAAGAGCCACATTGATGGCACGGACCGTGTTGATGTTGCGCAGCACAAGCAGCATGGACCGAGGAAGTGCCCGGAGCACCTGCATGATGGCCTCGAAGTGGTTGCGGGCCATTTCTTGCATGTAGGCCACCTCCTCGTGGCTGGGCAGGTGGGAGTGCCACAGCTGCCCTAGGCGCACGGGCCGTTGCATGAGCATCTCAGAGAACAGCAAGTAGTCTGTGGAGGCAGAGCCTGAGCTGGGCTGTGTCCAGCTAGCACTGCCCAACCTGGGGTTGCACCTGCCCTTACCTTTTACACCAAGTGCAGCTGCATGCTCCTTCATTGCAGCCTCGTCCCTCAGGATGATGGTGCGCCACAGCTGGCACAGCGCTGACCGGTCCCTGTGGGAGGGTCTGGCTATGAGCCCCATGTCTCGGAGGCAGCAGGCCACAGGGAGAGGGTCCCACCTGCCCACAGCTCACTTCTCATCCAGGAACTGGTAAAGCCCATGGTCCAGCAGCACCAGCTCTGCCTTCCCGTCCAGGCCTCTCCGCACCAGAACTACAGACATAGTATGAGTATGTCGCTGAGGCCACCATCACCGGGGTGGCAGACACAGCACGTCAATCCAGGCCACCCACCAAGACATCTCCCAGGGGTCCTACCATTGCCAGGGTGGGGATCGGAGTGGATGAAGCCTGTGTAGAATATCTGCTCGGCAAAAACCTGGATCAGCTTCTCTGCTACCTGGGGAGGGGGCAGGATGTGCAGCAAACCGGCAGCACCCCCACCCTACCCCCTGACTAGGTGAGCAGCACTCACATCCCGTACTGCCAGCCCCTGGCTCTCGATGGCCTCCACGTCGTTGACCTTGCAGCCCTCACAGAAGTCGGCTGTTAGCACACGCTGTGGGAGGGCAGGAGGCTGAGCTCAAGAGGCCTGTGCTGCCACACCCCCAGGACCATCCCAGCCCACCTTGCTGCACTTGTCCCAGTGCACTCGGGGGACGGTGACATAGGGGAAGTGCTTCAGCTCCTCTGCGCAGCGCTCGGCATTGTGGCCCTCATTCTCAAAGTCCAGTTCCTGGGCCAGGGTCCCCTTTAGGTCCTGGGGCCATATGTGGGCGGTTGGTCATGGTGGAGGACCAGCTCCCGCCCACGGCCTGGCCTGCTCTGAGCAGCATTACCTGCAGGACCCAGCTGAAGCTGAAGCTGGGATGCATGAGCCCCACGAGCTGCAGCAGGAGCTCCAGGGTGTGCACGTCCCCATCAAAGCGGTCCTGCAGGTCAATGTACTGCACCTGCAGCAGGCAGAGGCACACTGAGGACCCAGGGTTGCCACCAAGCCTGAAGCCCACCTGGCACAGGGTGGTGGCCCCAGTACCTTCACAGCCACAGCAGTGCCATCGTGCAGCTTGGCACGGTGCACCTGAGCCAGGCTTGCTGCAGCCACTGGCTGGTAGTCAAACTCCTGGAAGATCTCAAGGGGCAGTGCCTGGAAGTCTTCTAGGAACAGCTCATCAACCTGGGAGGAGCCAGCACTTGGAGCTGCAGGGAGGCACTATTGCACCCCCTTCCCTCCTCTGGCAGACCTTACCTCTTGGAGGCCCCGAGTGAGGGCCCGGTCCTCCAGTACACGCAGTGTCCGGATGTACTCTGGTGGCAGCAGGTGGTTGAAGGAGCATAGTCCCTGGCCCAGCTTCACGTAGAGGCCACCATTGCGGATGGCCCCTGCCACCAGGGCATCAGCTGCCCGCTGGTGACAAGCAGACATCACCTCCACGTACCTCGGGCTGTTCTGACCATAGACATGGAGGGGAGGATGGGGGCAGGCAGCCACCTCCTCAGTCCCCAAGGCACCCACCACCTCCAGTGTGCCCCCTGCATGCCCAGGGCAGGGGGACAAACCTCTTCCACCCCTCGCAGGATGACATTTGTGCACCACCAGTAGTCCAGGGAGATGTACAGGCCAATCCCCAGGGACCTGCGGGCAGAGGAGGCCTTAGCCCCTGAAGGTAGGCTATGAGGTGGAGTCCAGTGCTGGTTCCTCTTCTCAGAGCCCTGTCAGGCTCTACGTCACCCCCGCCAACCCCATGCCAAGGGAGAGATCGAGCCAGGACCCAGTCTCCAGGACTCAGGTCCTAGTGAGCTAGTTAGTGCCTGCTGGTCAGTCTCAGTCCCAGGTCTCACAAGGCCACTCTCACTCCTGACTGTTAACACCCACAGAAACTCAGGGAAGGGGGAAGTAGATAGTGGGGGGGGGGGCAAAAACATGCACCAATCAGGAAGGCCTCTTGTCACCACCAAAAGGAGGAGGAGAGGTCTCCAAGACTAAGAGAAGCAAGGCTGCTGCTCCTCTGAGAATGGAGCCCAAGGGTGGGGATCCTGGAGAGCTGCTCAGCTGGTTGGTCTGGACACTGCAGCACAGGGGGGCTCAGAACTAAAAGATGGGGGATCTGACCCCGGGTAACAGTTGGGAGGGAAAGAGTCCCTTCCATTCTGGGATATAGGTCCCTCACCATGGGAGTGGCAAGGTGAGGCCTTGCCCTGCACCTGCTAAGCTGTCCTCCACAGCTGGACCGTCCCACAGGGGGAACCTCAAGGGGCTTGGGTGGCCAGCAGAGTGGGCATGGAGAGGACTGCTCAGCTCCCTGGGACTCCAAGAGGCCCCTTCCCCCTTGAGCAATGCAGACCTGAAGCCTTCAGGTGGCCTGAGGTGAGGATGGTGGCCACACTCAGTATTCCACTAATGCAGAGGGAGACAGAATGGCTCTGCTAGGAACAGGAGGCATCCATGTGAGCACGTGGTCTTCTAGCCAACGAGGAACGCAGACACAGGCACATGGGAGTGGTGTCTGTGCACACCCCGATCCCGGCTGTGCACCTCGCAAGGCAAGGCCTGCTTGCATCAGGTATGGCTCCAACCATCCCACCCCACTTCCAGGTGCCAGGCTCCTTGGAAAACTGACCTCAGGGCTGGGCAGGGAAAGACTGGAGAGCCTGATACATCCAGCAGTGCCAGGAAGGGGCAAAACGCTCAGGGAAGAAACACCATTCAAAGACAGGAAGGTCATGGCAAAGCCTCAGGATGGGCACAGATACACATGGGTAAGCAGACAGCATTTTCTTTTCTAAGGGGCAGAGGTACTGGGGATTGAACCAGAGGCACCTTACCACTGCCCTTTTTATTTTGAGACAGGATCTCACTGAGTGGCTTAGGCCTACTCTAAATTGCTGAGGCTGGTTTTGAACTTGTGATCCTCCTGCCTCAGCCTCCCCAGCTAGGATTATAGGAGTATGCCACCACACCTGGCACATAGAGTGTACTCAACTTTGCTGTTTAAATTTCTTCAAAATAAAATGTTGGAGAAGTTAGACATGGGGCACACACCTATAAACCCAGCAAATTGAAAGGGTGAGACAGGAGGATCACAAGTTCTAGGCCAGCCTCAGCAACTTAGCAGGGTCTTAAGCAACTCAGTGAGACCCTGTCTCTAAATAAAATACAAAATAGGGCTGGGATATGAATCAGTGGTCGAGTGCCCCTGAGTTCAATCCCTAATACCACCCCCCAAAAAAAATGATACTTTAGTAACACATTAATAAAGCAAATCTCTCAGTCTAGATGGTATAAATAAACCAATGGATTCATAACTGGCAGAGAGCTCCCTTACAAGAGATGCCAGCAATAAATGTTGAGGGAATGACTAAATTAGAAGAACCACCTTCTGACCACCGTAAACAATTTACCCAAATAATAGTGTCGGCGAGTGACAGTGTGGTGCACAGGGGAGGAAGGGCAGCTGGAAGGCATGTTGGCACTACCACAGGTAAAACACCAGGAGCCAAGGCTTGCCAGTGCCCACAAGGGTCAACTTGGCAGGGCACAGATTGTCCCATGCCCTCCATTCTTTGCCGAGACAGGAGAGCCTGGAAAACCATGGGTACTAGGAACAGGGCGGCTGCTGTGGCCAGCCCAAGCCTGTCTGGGACACCAGCTCTTCATATGGCGGGGTGAGAAGGGAAGGTGGCAGCTGCCATCCAGCCAAGGGTCTGTGGGGCTGCATCCAGTGTGAGAGGCCCTCTCTGGCAGTCCCTCATCCACATGTGGCATGGCAACAATGCTTGCCACCCCCCACAGCCAAAGACACCTGGAAGGTGGCAAGAGTCCCCATAGAACACTGCAGCCCTTCCAAGGACAGACACAGCCGACCTGTGCCCTCCTACCTGCCAAAGCGCCCAAAGCCATCTACCACAAGCCGCATCTTCCTCTTCTCCCGGGCCTCTGCTGTGAAATAGTGGATTCCAAGGAGCAGGGGCACCCCCAACACAGTGGTGGAAAGCGTCCTCTTCCATAGCGACGAGGGACTCGAGGACCTGAGGGGCAGACAGGAGCTGCAGGGGCTACCCTCCCAAGACTGAGCCTGACTGAGGATGGCCCACCATGATGTGGACATCAGGCAGCTCTGAGGGAAAGCTCCCGTGTTCAGTCCCACTGTGGCCACTGGTGTACAGTGGCTCAGCCAAGCTAAAGCAGCCTGGAGGGCCTGCACTCCATGGGACGAGGGCACTGCCCAGAGTCACAGCCACCACTACCCCTCATGATGGGTCAGTTAGGTTGTGAGCATCTGGACAGTGACTGGTAGGACACCCAAACACAGTGGAGCTAAAGACAAGGAGAGCAAACCTCCATGCTGCTGCACTCAGGAGGCTTGCTCATCCACCTGTGTCCACTTCTAGTCTGTCTGTTCCAAGGACACAGAGTGTGAACATGCACAGATGCTGGGAGGAAGAGCTGTCCAATATGGTCCAGCCTCACTGCCCACAGGGCCTCAGAGGCCTTTCCTTTTGCTTAGAACACACCTCCCCACCTCTCTTCGGGATGCTCCTATCTCTTGCCTGACCCCACCCATGGCAGTCCCCCTCTCCATGCACAGAATGGTTTCCCTGTTTATGTCTGAGGCAGATGGCCATATGTCCTCCTGATGTGCCAGCATCTGCTGTTGATGCTGTCCTGGGTCAGGGCCCCAGTCATCTTGGGTCCCAGGCACTGCATGTGTGCAGAGGCACCCTGCCTTGCAGGTACAACAGAAGGTCCTGCTCAGGCCCTTCTGCCTCCATCCCCCTGACACAGAACGCCTCCCTGCCTTGGCGGGGCGGGGGGGGGGGTGCATGTCCATGGAACAGGCGCTGGTTACCTTGCAGGTGGGCCCCTGAAGTTCCTCCTGAAGAACACTGCAGGGCAAGGCCAGGGCTTCCGCCTGCTCCTCAGCAGAGCCAAGTGGAAGGGGCAGAGCTGCAACTGCAAAGAGCCACAGCAGGCTCAGCAAGGTGGCACCCAGGACAGGGTGCCTCACTCACTGGGCCACCAACCTGAAGCCAGGATGCCAGGACAAAGGAACAGGCCTAACTCCCGGAAGGAAGCATACGCCAGGCCAAGAAAGGCCAAGGTGGTTTGGCTAACAATGCCCGACTGTCAAAGTCCCCTCAGTCTCTGCAGGAAGAACTCATCATGACCTGGCTTGTCTATGCCAAGACCCACCATCACTCTTTTGGTGGCCCTGTGACCTATCAGTTACTGAGAAACACTGACCAGTGACCACAGAAAGGCAGGCCACTCACAGGCCACACAATTAGAAATAAGTGCAGGAAGGAGAACTGACCCTTTTGAGGACTGCTGCTCTGAAAGCACAAAGGCACAAGGAGCTCCCAACTCACCAGACCCCAGAGAGCCCCTCCCCGAAGGGTGAGGAGGAGAGAAAACTGTGCACATGGTCCGGGGCCAGGCTCAGCCCAGGGGCAGCACCGCAGCTATCAGACTCACTGGCAACCTTGACCTCTCAATCTTGTTTATTCAGAGATGGGGTCTCACACTCCAGAGCTCAAGTAACCTTCCCACCTCAGCCTCCCAAATAGCTGGACCACAGCATGTGCCACTCCATCTGGCTCCCAGTCTCATTTGAAATGTGAGATTTTAAAGATTCCTCAACTGCTAATTCTTCTAGCAAATCAGCATTTAAGGGAATAAAGCCCACAGTGTCACCCAACAGCACTGCCCTAAGAGCTGGGCCAACCAAGGAGCAGACACCCAATTGGTTTCTGGCCAAGGTGTGCAGCCATGAAAACAATTCCAAGGACTTTAAAACACAAAGGTCAAAGGACAAGGTTCATGACCTACCGTCCCAGGAGAACTGGCTGACCAAACCTTCTGTTCAGCAAGGCCACAAGCTATAGGCATTGATTCTCAAAAAACCAGAGGCAACAGGGGAAGTCCCAGGCAGAGGGGTACACCTGCAGCCCATCTGACTTTACCTCATCACCCTAGATGTTTCTAGTGCCATGACATGCACAACCTGTAGAGGCCCAGGGGGCTGCAGAGATGCTCACAGCAGGAGCTAGGAATGCCTTCAGAGCAGCTGGCTCTAGGTGGTCATCCTGACCACTGCCCACCTTATCCCAGAGTCCTCTACCCCATGCCACAATGCAGGGCACACAGATAAACCAGCCCTGCCTACAACCAGGGCCAAAGCTCCATGGCCAGCCCAGAGAGCACAACATGGAGGCACACACCAAGACCTGGACAGTGGGGGACCTCCTCGTGGACAGTGTCCCCAGAGGCCCAAGGCCAGGGTGGCATGGGCATCTCTGAGGAGTGGGAAAAAGGCCTATGTGGATGGAAAGCAGAACATGTGCCCAGGTCTAAAAGGAAAGGGAAGGCACAGAGCAAGCTGTATTCAGCAGTACACTGTAAGGGGTCCCAAGGCCACAGGGAGGAAGTGAGAGGGAGCGGGGCTGACCCCCCACTCAGGAGATCAGTCCAAGGAGGCAGGGGCAGTGTCCAGTCAGAAGGGACTGGAGCCAAGTGGATCCGGGGCAAGATGGCCTGAAGCTGGTGCCTTGATACCATCACACACCTGCTGCCACTCTGGCTCTCAAGGGTTCTGCTGCGACTGACCTTCCCAGCAAGACCTCCGCCCAGTGGATAAGAAACAACATCAGCCACCAGCTGTGCCCCTGTGCTCGATAAGCACCTTCTGACCTTGAAATATAAGCAATCACAAGTGAGGGACATCCTCCAATAACGACCTGGCCCTTTCAAAAAGTAGTGTGAGCCAGGAATTGAGCACTGCTGGTATGGAGCACAGGCATTAACTTTCTCTACTTCTATAAATAACTGCAACTTCTCCAAACAGAAAATTAAAACAAAAAATGACAGGAAAAGGTGGGAAGAGCACTGCAGACAGGCACCATGGCAAGCTCAGCAAAAGCCTCAGTCAGAAGGAAGGTAAGATACCTGCAGGACATTCTGAAGACACCAGGCAAGTTGAACTGGACTCTGCAACAGATGGAGGGAATTACTAGTGATTCAGGCATGAAAAACTACCCTGGGTACACAAGAGACTGTCCTTGCTTAGTGGATGCACATTAAAGTGTTAAGAGATTAGATGTCAAAATGTCTGTGATTTGGGCTGGGGATGTGGCTCAAGCGGTAGCGCACTCGCCTGGCATGCGTGCGGCCCGGGTTCAATCCTCAGCACCACATACCAACAAAGATGTTGTGTCCGCCGAGAACTAAAAAATAAATATTAAAAATTCTCTCTCTCCTCCCCCCTCTCTCCTCTCTCACTCTCTCTTTAAAAAAAAAAAAAAATGTCTGCGATTTACTTTCAAATAGTCCAGTGACAACAAAGTATATTTTTTTCCAAGCAGAAAGAGAAAACAGCTAAGGCAGCATATTAATAGTGAGTAGATCTAAGCAGTAGTTATCTGGACAACTGCAACTCCCAACAACATGGGAGGCCAAGGCAGGATTGCAAGTTCAAGGCCAACCTAGGCAACTTAGCAAGACTCTGTCTCAAAATAAAGTTCTGGGGTAGTTCAGGGGTAGAGCACCCCAGTTCAATCCCCAGTAGCTCTAAAAAAAATAATAATAAATTAATAAGGGAAATACTTTCCTGAAGAAAAGTTACAAAATATCTGCTCTAGTACTGAAAGTCCCAGCTGAGAAAGTGGTGTTTTTGAGCTAAAGCAGCTCACACCTTGGGTGATTCTGTGCCTAGGACATTGGCACTGATGAGACACTTCTCATTACCACTTGGGGGAAAACTTCCTCTGCACCAAGCAGGGAGAGGCCAGGGTGCTGCTCACACCAACTGTACAGGGTCCCAGAAGCTGAGGCTGAGAATCTCAGGAGGAATCTGGAAGGCCTTTGGGGGCTGGAGTCCTGGTCCAACACTTAACTGGCCATCAGCCTGGGGTAAATTACTTCTCTCTCTGTCCCTCAGTTTCCCTGTCCATGAAGTGGGATCACTGAACAAACAATGTGCAACTCAAGCCCCCCAAGCTGTTTGCAAAGTCCTTGGAGCAGTGCCCAACACACCAGGCACTGTGAGCAGGTGCGTGGCAGGCAGATGGGCTTGAGACCTTGCTAGGCTCAGGATTTCCACCACAGCCCTCTAAGGCTTTGCCCCTGCACCAAGCCCCTCACTGGTCCTCAGTGACCCTCAGCTCACCCCATCTAACAGGGCAATCCCATACCTACTTGCTGAGTTGAATTATTTATATTAGGAGTGGCAGATTCCTGCTGATTTTCAAAAGGATAAAAGGGATTTAGTCCAGAAGAAAAAGAAGACTTCCAGCATGTACATACAGGTTAGATGCCAAAAATGAAGAGAGGTGTGCACTAAAACTGGAACAGGTCAGGAGAGGGTTGGCTGCAGTTTTTCAAGGGGATGGTAAGCAAAGAAAATGGCCAAAGCTAACACAATGACTACTCTTGAGATTCAGCATTCAGAAGAGAAGGAGCCACATACATTCTAGACAATAGGCAGAGACTGGAAGAAAGGTAGAGGCTACAGGTACCCACAACAATCAGGGACCTCTGCCCCAGGAAGGGCCAAGGCTCACACATAGCTGTCCAGGATAAAGGGCTGACCCCAGCATCACATAGCCCCCAAGGACAACACGAGGGCTGGACAGGAAGGGCCCATGTGCTGTGGGTACGTTTGACTTGGAGGCAGCGGATGGGAGAGCCAGGCTGGGGGAGGGCTCACACTCCATGTCCACCAATTCTGCCTGGGAAAGGTCCAAGCCCTTCAGGGAGGTTCAAAGAAGCCTCAGGAAGGATTCATCTCCAAAGGAGAGTGTGCACAACCTAGTCAAGCATCAGCTACCAGCCCCTCAAGTCTTCTGGCGACCCCAGGCAATGGCAGTGACTAGATGGCACCCTCATGCTGAAGGAGTATTGCTGAGGAGGTAGAGCCCACCAAGTGCTGAGCTAAGTTAGGGTAAGGCTAGTGTGCCTGGAGAAGCCCCCACTGAATCTGGGGAAAAAATGGACACTTTCAAGGTTGGAGAGGGGAGCTCACTTGGGACTGGCACTTAATAGACATGCTGTAAAAGTAGGTGTTACTTAAGACGGGGACTTTACATGTCCTTACTCACAAGACCTGGCAAAGCTGGGAGGAAGACCCAAATCTAACTGCTTTCTTAGCTGACACAGAGGCCTCGGCATCCTATGGTAAAATCCTCAAGCAGGGGTCCTCTAGGCCACAGAGCTCAGTATTGTTCCCAAGGTCACAGAGTCAAGCACACTCTTCCCAAAGGTTTGGAAGGAAAATCATCAAATCACATCACTTTCACATATTAAAACACGCCGTTCTTTGACAGAAAAGAACATCATCTGAACTATTCTACAGTGACACTGGAGGCTCTGGGTGCTTCTGATGACTGCCCATGCTATCAAGACTCCGGTGGGCAGCTGAGGCCTAAGTGTGCAGGTCCCAGTACCTAACCAGCACGGGGCACACTGCTCTCACAGGGGAAGTCGGGAGGCTCTGGTCCCTAAGCATCACACCCAGTCACAGTTTCCTGATGTTTTCCTAGGAACCCACACTGCAGTAGGAGCTCTGGCCCTGGGATCCCACCTGCAACTCCCGCCCCATCGGTGGCTCCACCCTGCTCACCATGTTCCTCTTCCTTGGTTCCTCTGCATCTGGTACACCCCTCTCCCACTGTCCTTTTCCCGGCTAGCATGACAGTGAACTTAAAGCACCTGTCTCTGGCTGGACCAAGAGCAGGTCCACCTCCCAAGCAGCTCCACACTTCCAGGACTGAGTGCTGTGCTGGGGTGAGGCACACACACTTGTTGAGAGACAAAAGAGGCGAAGCGGGGGCTGTGATTGCAGCTCAGCGGTAGACACTTGCCTAGCATTTATGAGGAATTGGATTAGATCCTCAGCATCACATAAAAATAAATTAATTAATTAAATAAAGGTCTAAAAATACAATAACATTAAGGGGGGGGCAAGCACAGAACTAACCTACACAGCACACACTAGGACCTCTGCCAAGCACTAGGCAGAAGGTCATAGTCAGGCAACAGAGGGCAAGTCCAGCCCTAGACAGGACAAAAGTGGACAAGATCTCATGCAGATGGCCCAAGAGCTCCTACAAGCTCATCAGGCAATTCTACTGTCTGCCTCCTAGTGTGGGATGCCCAGGGTTCTCCAAGCAATCATCTTTGAAATTCCCATGTCAGAGGGACTCTCAGAGCCCAAAAAGTGTATGTGGGGCCAAGCCCACAGCCAGAATAATTTCCACTACACTGCACATAAACCAAATCCCACCCAGGACATAACCACCAAACCACTGGCAAAAAGGCAGAGAAGACTCAATCCCAGGACATTGTCGTGCATATCACCAGCTCCTCCCCATTGAGACCACATACTCCTACCTACTGGGACTGCTCTGGCTATACTGGTCCCAGCAGCAACCCCTCTCCTTCCAGTTTGGACAAAATGAAACTGGCTCCCTTTACCCGAGCCCTCATACTGCTTATAGGGCTTGTGTGTCCAGTCTGTCTGCAAAAAGAAACACTTGTCCATTTTTCTCCAATAGAAGCTGTTTCCAGTGGAAACAGAAATCTATAAAGTAGCAAAAGCAAGCTCTGAATAATACCTCTCCAATAGGTACCCAAAGTGGGTGCTATCAGGCAGAGCAGTCCTCCTGTTTCTCTGCAGGTCAGAGAGCAAATTGGAGGAAAGATGAAAGGTGGCCACAGATAAGCCAGCCTGCGGCAGGAAGAAGCAACTAGGACTCTCAAAATGAGGCTTTAAAAGAAAAACTAAAAGGGAGGACTAGAACCAAGCAGCTTAACAGCAGGATCCACATCCCTGTGCACCCTAACAGGAAAGAAAACCAAGAGTCAGACTGCGAACCTGAACCAGGAAATTGGGTCTGCTGACTAGAAATGCTCTCGTGCTCAAAGCCTGCTGGACCAAGCTGTACTCAAAGCTCAAAGCAGCTCCTGCTCAGAGGCCTGTCTGCAGGATTGGTGGCCTGGTATGTGAAGAAGCATTGCCAAAGGCCAACCCTGTCTCTGCCTGACTCTCTAACATCACTCCATCGTTGTCAGCCCAGAAAACACTCTTCTGCAACAAAGCTACCCACTGCAAGCCATGAGCTGGCAGACTTGTGGTCTTATCAGTACCTAACCTTGAAGGCCAGGCTTCCTAGAAAAGCACAAGCTCTACAGAAAAGCCCAAAAAGGAACACCACACAGTGGCACTGGCCTATACTCCCAGCTCAGGAGGCTGAGGCAGGAGAGTCATGTCAACTTTGAGACCCACCTGAGCCATGTAGCAAGACCCTGTCTCAAAATTTAAAAAAACTAAAAGCGATGGGGGTATACCTCAGTGGTAGAACACTACAGATTCGATCCCCAGTACTGCAAACAACAACAAAGAACACACAAAAAACGCTGCTGGAGAAAGGGCCATAATCCAGGGCGCCTCCAAGGACGGGGCCATCGCCAGTGTAGAAGATGGGGGCCAGGGAGGGGAGGGCCACCCTGAGTCCGTGGAGACCCACTAAACAGAAGAGGGAACGGGTTTTCGCAGGGAGGGGACGGGTCCTGCTGCAGACAGGGACTGGAAGAGTGTCCCCCTCTCCCGGAGCACTGAGAGACTGGGGTGGGGCCCAGCAGGCTGCGCCTCTCCTGGGCTGTTGTGTGGTGTCCACTCGCTCCCTAAGGGTCAGAGGGCCAGGGGGAGTCAGAGAGCACTAGGGTTGCGAGGAGCAGAGAAGGACGGGAGCGGGATGGGGAGGTGGGGGCCTGAGGGGGTCTGGAGCACTGAGGTGGGGGTCCTTGGCATGCGGGGTCTGGGTCCTGGAGCGGGGGTCCGGGTGACTGGGGTCTCGGGGCCTGGGGCGGGAGTCCCGGGCGGGCGGGGTCGGGTCCCGGGATGAGCGAGTCCTCACCGGCCGCCACATGTCGCCGCCGCGCTTCGCGGAGCTCACTCTCCGGTGTCCCGGCGCCCAGCAGGCCCTGCGGGAGGACGCGCGGTGCGCGTGCGCACCAGGTTCTCGAGCCCCGCCCCGGAGCTGGGCGGGGACTGTAGGCCACACCCGTCTCGCGCTCCTCTGCGGCGCAGCAGCGTCCCCTGGCGGTCGCTGAAGGGCTGAACAAGAAGCAAGTCGGATGAGGCTGAAGGTCTTGGCGCTTCCCGAGGTCTCCTGATATGGTCCCTGCTCGACATTCCGTGCACCTGGGATGAAATGAATCTCTTTAACTTCCTCAGGACTCACTTTCCTCCTTACAAAATGAGGTGGTAACTCATAAACTAATATATGCTCGTCGTCACGTGTAACCCCCAGGGTTCACTGGCACTGAGCCCGTGACACTTGGCAGCCCCCAGGCGCTGCCTGGGAGGGAGCCAGAAGAGCCCCTCCCTCTCTTGCAGAAGCCTTGTCTCCTGCCGGTTTCCCCTCGCTCTCCTCTGTGCTGGCTGCTGCCCCTCTCAACAACACCCCTCGGTCTCTGCATCTCTGGCTGGGTGCTCCTATGGCCTGGCCACCTTGCTGTGGCCGCTGTGTCCTTTTTTCCACACTGCCTTCTGGAACAATTGGAGACTCAGGGAAGCAGAGGCCTTGGGCCAGAGGGCAGCAGTGCTTCTCACAGGACCACCTCCTCTGGCCCTGGCCCTTGACAGATCCATGACAAGAACTCTGTAGTATGGATGTATGGGGGTCCCTAAAAGCAGCTAGGGTGCAGTGGGCCATGGACAGAAAGGACTCAAGGTACACTGACCTAAGATGGGAATGGGAGGAAGGAGGACAGAAGGCACTCAGTGGTAGCAGATGACCAGTTAAATCCCAGATAGCCTGCACGGGAGCCGCCCATGATGTCCTGGGCCCCAGGAACCTGCCTCATAGGAAGGCAGGCGAGAGGCCTGAGGAGGGCCTGACCAGGAGCCTGGCAGCAGGGACCACTGGGGATGGAACTTCAGACCTGTCTGAAGATTTGGGGCTATGGGAGCCCCTGGAAGCTCCAGGATACCTGCCCACCCCAGGAGATGGGCAAGCATCCCAAACATGGCAGGGTGAGTGGCCTGGCTCAGTATTCATAGGTGATTTAGAAAGTTAATATCAGGTAGTATTTCTGGAGCCAAGTGTCAGGATTATACAGGAGGCCCTCCAGCCTGCAATGCCTCAGAAACTGAGAGATCTCAAGCAGGTGTTTGGGTGCCAGGAAACTCAGGCTCTGGTTGGCACAACAGGACAGGGAAGAGTGACCTCCACACCTGCAAGGTCAGGGTGCTGGGGCTTGAGGAGATGGTTTGGGCAAATAGAGGTGGAGAGGGCTCAGCCTGGCCTCAGTGAGGGCCCACTTCCAGGACACAGGCAGAGTGGGCATTAGCAAGAGATGAGGGGGCTTCCTCCTGCTGGGTCCCCCATGATGCCCAGGTTCTCATCCCTCTGGTGGGGGACTGCCACTCCCTTCTGTGCAGCCTCTTGCAACCCCCTCCCCATCCCACCCCTGTGACTCAGGACCTGCCCCTCACAACTTATCTGTAGTCAATTCTTTGTGGAGTGGGTTCTCTCCTTTCCTGGCCAACCTGGCAACAACCCCACAGAGGTAACTACCTGTAGCTCCAGGCCTGCATCAGCCTGCCAACCCTCACTCCCACTCAAAACCTGAGACCTCAAATGCACCGGGGCACCAGGACCCTCTCCACAGCAGCTGCCTCTCCTCACCTGGCTCTCCCCACCTGCCTCTCTTGATATCTGGCTGCCCTTTTCTCCATGGGACTTGCACCTGGCGCACCAAATTCAACCCTTCTGTTACAGGAGCGCCTCCTCCTGGCTCCTCTTCCTCCCGGGCCGGGTCGTAGGATTAGGCCCTCTTTCTCCTGCACCCACAGCTGTCTCACCTCACAGGATCACTCTGAATGAACATGCAATTGCATTCCTATCTACCATTAAACAAACAAAACCGTGCTTTCTGCCTGGTGTTCTGGTCTCTGGAGCTTACAAGATCCCTGGGGATTCTGGAACAAACCAGAATCTCTTACTCCTTCCACAATAGGTCTATTTCTGGTTTGTCCCCATTCTCTCTTCTGCCCTGTCCGACATCACCAGGCCCCTCTGGCCTTGGCCATCTCCAGAATCTGTTGATCTAGGGCCACTTGCAGGCCTTCCTCCCAGTAACTCCATTCTCCACCTCCAAGGAGCTTGTCCTAGCAACTCACCATCTGACCCATCTGCCTCTGGAGCCCAGCAAAGCTCCCCCTGACTGAGTTGGAAAGACCACCAGGAACTGTCCAAGGACCATCCTGAAGCCCTTCTTCCAGAAGCTCTACTCATATAGGGGTCTTCCCCAGCCCAGAGCTGTCAGCTTGTAGGGTTTTTTTTTTTTTTTTTTTTTTTTTTT